TGTCCTTAAAGCTACCATTGCGTACCTTTGGACTTGCTTTCTATAAGTTCAAAGTTTCCGTTTGGACTCCTGATGAAGCGAGTGAATGTCAGAAAGCTAATTCCCTTTTGCGAGCTGCTGATAACTGGCTTAGGGTTTTGCAAGTGAATCATCCAGATTTCAGGTTCTTTGTTTCCCACAATACATACTGGAGGTGAGCGAAGTTCCAAAACATAGTGGAACTGACCACTTAACTTGGAAGAGAATCCCAGTACCTCAGCAGATTGACTTCCAAACTGTCTCTCCAGCCCATTAGCCTTAGCTCATACATATACTTTGGTATTGCGTGCCCTATCTGTAGTTCTTCCTCATGGATGCAAGGAAGATGCTTTATTTTGTATGGATTACGATGGATACAGAGCACAGATAGACATGGTATTCAAGTTCATCTGATGGGCTTCCCATGTTCTTTTATCAGCATCATGGCCTTGACGAGGTAGAAGTCAAACGCTATAACTTCTTAATAAGTTTGATAGTTTGATGACGACGATGATGAAAATCTCTGATATTTGTATATACTTATGTCTTTTTGGAGTTCAGTATGTGTAACATTCCTACTTGTACTAACCTCTTTTTTAGAGCTTGATCTTGGAACCCAAATATTAGTTTTTCCAGTGGAGGTGAAATAACACGTTAGCTCTTCTTAGTGAGGGAGATATGTTCATGCACTTGAGCTATAGTCAACTTTTTTATCTGTGTTTTACTTTCCCTTCCATTGCTTTCACAAACTACCTTTATTTCCACTTAATTCTCACACCTTATACACATGAGGGAATTGCATGCTGAAAACGTTCAGAAGATAGACCATGGGTTGTGAATTAGTGGAGTAGATGGATAGGGCTGCTCCCTTCATACGTAAATATGCACTAGTATTGGTAGAAAATCTCAAAACATTACCATACATTACCCCGTAGCCATTGTCCATGAAAGAAAAGAAGGGAAGAAATTATTCAGCCATGGGACAAGTAAAGCATACTAACATTACATTTTTCTCACGTCTGCCAAAATTTGCACCCTCTCCATGTGGAAAGAGCATATGATGTTATCATAATTTTGATTGACACCAACGATTCATAGGGATTTGAAATAAAATCTCATTGGATCATCTTTTAAGATGTGATAGATGTGTGTTTTGAGTTTGAATTGTGATTTTATGATAAAAATAATATTATAATTTATTTAATTTTTTAATAATGTGTCAGAGTAGATTCTTTCTTTGGTTTAATCAAAACGGTATATAATTGAGTAAAATAAAATATCACGAATCTCAATAATTAATAAAAGATGAAATAAATTAGAGTTTTTTTTTTGTCACTTGATAAATATGTCTTTTGAGTTTAAACAATAAGCTCATGGCAAAGAACATTTTGAATGAATTTACTACTTTTATGTTATTTCTAAAATCATTTAAGGTGTAAATCTGAATTGCTTGTACAAATAAAATGAGAAATGTTTTACGTAGGTACACACGACACATAGATTAAGGCAATCTTTAATCAGGTAGATCTTGATAGTGATTAGTAAATCCAACTTCACCCAATGTTTTATTTGGCTTGTTGCCCTAAACGGCACCGTTTTATAAGCAAAAAAACTTTGCTTTTCCTTCAACCAAGTGATAGAAAGTTCATAACGCTGGACAATGACTCAGTCAAGGAAGTAAACAAATGATAAATAATGACTCAGTCAAGGAAGGAAACCAAAGATGCCAACAATTCGTTTCGTTTTTCTGCAGACGACAAAGCTTTAAGATAAATAATGATGCCCGACATGTTATCGCATAGGAACTGTAATTACATTTTGTTATAAATCTATGAAGGCCGATCTTTAGATATAAAGAAAGCAAGCATGTAGTTATAAAGACGAAGTTCTTCCATCTTTCCATTATGCACAAAAGCTCTAAATACAATAGTAGGAGTACATAGTTCCGCTGACCTAATCGATTTCCATTTCTGAGGTAAGAGTGAAGATCTTTCCCTCTTTATGCTTTACTCTCAGACCTAATATTATATTGGCATATCCACTACAAATACCCCCATTAACTTATAAGTTATCATCGAGAATAGTGGACATCAACAGTCCTTGAACGCACTCACACCTTCGAGCCTTCTCCTCATGGTCCTTGTCCGACAGTTGCGACTGCTGAGACTTTCTGTCATCGGAAACTATGGTGTTAGAACATTAAATCTAATTGACAACTCACATGACAGTGAATCTAAACTAATTAATGCAGTGCAAGGAAAGCAGAAGGCATGGGCAGTTTCTACTAAGCAGTAAGAGGGGAAGAATATGCAAAATTCAGGTAAACCTATGCATCCAATGTGGTCAAAATTTCATCAATTCTCGAGCAAGGGTAAGACTTAGTGCATAGAAAAACTGGCCTAGATAGTAATTGCCACCATGATCAAGTGGTATCTACTTACTTACTAGCAAGGCAAATAATAATAATAAAATAATTTCTGTCTAATCCATGGCATTTCCTACCCTTAGTGACTTACTCAAACTTGTTTACTTAATCAAAGAGCATGGTGTACTGCCAGCAACCATATCAACTTTAAGGGACCAGAAAGAGAAACAAAAGGACTAATATCAAAAGAATAAATGACACCAGCAGTCATACCTTTCTAGAAATTCTTTATTTGAGCTTTCCTTTACGGCATGTGCTTCAGCAATAGAAAGAGGCTGCAAGCTTACAGGCTCATCAACTGTGGGTGGATTAAAAATAAACGATGACAATAATGGATCAGGTTCTACATTGGAAGAAGAAACAATGCATGAAGATCCACCAGGAAAGGCCTGCCAATTTCCTTCTCGCAGTTCTTTTCTCAACATAGCAAATGTCAAATTGGTTCCACCCTTGCGTAATCTCCGCTTGCGCTGCACGTAATATCCAGTCAAGGAATAACCTGAACCGTCATTCATCATGACATGCTTCCTCACAAACAAACTAAAGACATTTAAATTTACAAAGAAGAGAACAACCTGAGAATGGGGAAAGTGTTTAACAGGGATAACACACTATCATATTGGTCACTGTGAGCCGATATGTAATCAATTCAAAAAAAAAAAAAAAGAGAAAAGAAATGCTCTTACCGAAGGCTATTATGTTTCACATGCATTGCTACACCATGGTACATATAGTCAAGCACCATGGTGAAGATGAAAGCAGATCAAAGTGTTTAGCCTTATAAGAAAAGACAGATCAATATTCGGACCAGACATACATGATAACAGCATTATTTAACCAGCCTTGACATCAGAACCAAACAAGATATAACAAAGCTTAGACAAAAATCCACATGAAAAGGATATCTTAAGAAAATTTCCGTGTTGCATGGTAATGTGGCTAACAATATCCATTCCAACCCTCTTTGCACAAACTGGGCAGACCTGAAAAAGTAAAATTCAATCAAACACATATTAAGTAAAATTCAAAGGTAACTCTCAAGCAATGTTACATGTCCAGTGGACCAACAACTCATATCAATTGGGAGAAAAATAAATCAAAGTATGGAGAATCATACAATTTATCCAATTAATTAGAAAGCTAAACTACTTAACCCACTACAGTTCTACAATTAATGAATGCTAGACACTGTTAATGAAGCAAACAACATCTATCTATTACTCTAGCAGCAATAAAATCCACAATAAAAGACACATAGCTAACTAAATGATCAAAAATCTTGCCAAGTCAAATCCCCAAGTCATCACCAACAGGAGTAAAAACCCCACTTCAAAATTTTCAACTTTTTTTTTCCCAATTAAGAACCACTCCACAAAAGCTTTCAGAATATTCTTCCTTCATCAATAACCGAACCTAGCTTAAACAAAGTTCATCTTTTTCTGATCAATTCAATGAGAAATAACATCAATATGAAGCAAAGAATTATAAATATATGACAAACTAGGAAAAGGGTACCCCGTTTTTGGCTTCAACAGGATGATCCTCATCGATGTGGCAACAAAGCCCAACAATGTCGAAATCCTCAGCGCAAAACGGACATAAGAACTCCGCCTTGAAATCCTCGTCGCCGTCAACTTCTTCATATCCTCCACCCAGAAACAGATCTACCCACGACAAACAAACAAACAAACAAACAAGACAAAACAAGAAACATCAAAATTTTCATCATAAAATTTTCATTTCAATTCTTAATTTCTCGAGAAACAAACGGGAAAACACTAACCAGATCGAGATTGGTGACGCCTAGAAGAAGAGGAAAAAGAAGAGGGATTGGAGAATCGAAAGCTCAATGAATTAGACTCCATTTTTTCCTGGAAAAAAAAAAAAAAGAACCCAACTTTCTTTTCTTCTTTTGATCTAGAATTCGCGAATCTTTCTTGTGGGGGGTAAAATTTGGTGAATTTATTATAACCGAGTCCTTAAATGAAAGGGAAAAAAAACCCAGAAAGATGGAAGTATAAGGAAGAAACGAGGAAACGAAAGGAGAGAGAAGGAGCAGAGAGAGACTCTCCACCGAACTTCGAGTACGTGGTTCAGCCGCTTTTATGAACCATTTTTTTTCCTTTTTTTGTTTTTTTGCTAACTTGCACATTAAGTTTTGATAAATTGTGGAAATGCCCCCCTATTTCTAACTAATTGGATTTTGCGTGGAAATATTTTTGGTGGGTGGCTGAGATCGTCATCGGGCGAGGACTTAATTACGTCACGGAGGAATTTGATTGGACTAATCTTTGAAACGCGTTTTGTAACGTCGTTTGTTTCTGCCTATCCACGCGTACTGGCAGGACCTGTTGCTTGATTGGTTGGAAGTTTGAGCCAATGAGGAAGAGAGGATGATAGGGTCAGCTTGTCGACCAGCTCTCGTAGCTCAGTTGGTTAGAGCACCCGTTTAGTAAGCGGGAGGTCTTGAGTTCGACTCTCAACGAGAGCAAGTTGTTTTATTCACAACCCACAAGTCGAGCTCACAGACCAGCCTCCATTTCCTGCGACTGCTATGGAAAAAAAAGGAAATACATTTTCAACCCGAAGAAGAGTATATGATCATCCGTAAATACAAGAGTATAGATCAACTTGAGGAGTTACAAGCAATAAAAACAATGCTAGTTTCAGCTCTTCTTTTTAGTCTTCATCAAGTCGCTGACATCTGAAGCCTGGAAGATTTTTCAAAGAAATCAGCAATCGTGAGCTTCATGTCAACCGTCATCCTCCCAAGTATAGCTGACAACAAGTTCACATCTGACACGGCTCTATGTGTTGCATCTACTGATTGAATGTCAAAGTGTTCGCGGAGCGCTTGTAGTGAGAAGAGCCTTGATCCTGTTAACAGTATAAAACAATCAAAACTGACTGAAAAATTATGCAGAATGAGGGAAGGGGGGGGGGGGGAGGCGCGGGAGCTCTAACCATTCAACTTCATCATCTGGCGGCCAGAGGAAGGGTGTCTAAAAACAGCCAATTAGGAGGAATATCCATTGAACAACGGCTGAATTCTTGACTAGAAAAGGTACATCGAAACATCGTGCATTGTGAGCAATAAACAAAGCAAGGCTCCCAGGAATTTGTTGGCGGCTTCTGATGTAGTGCAGCAGGATTGGGATGAAGTCCTTCATCCTAGCCAAAATAGCAGTCATCCAGCATGGGGCATTGATCACCAGTTGAAGTGCAGAGGCAATCAATATAAAGATAATGAACTTGAAGTAAGAAATTTTACATCAGTTGTGTTTGAGGATGATATATACCTTGGGACATCTAGTTGATTCACCATGTTGGTTGTAATACCATGAATGTGTGAATTTGGAACATGTTGTTCAGGGTTAATCAGTGTGTGGAAACAACTGTTCTTTCCCCCCAGAATGTCTCGAATTGCAATTTCGATAATCCGCTCACTCTCTTTGCAAAATCCAGTGGTTTCAATATCAAAAACAAACACTCTTACAAATTGCTTTGGATCTTGGCTCTCTAAAATCTGGCGTTTAGCATCACAATACTGGATGCTACTAAGGCAACTTGAAACTGAAGAACTGATAGTGCTTGCCTGCAGTTGTCCATCCAAGAATTCATGCCTAACATTGCTTGGTTCACCTTTTTCGTTGTCTCTAGTTCCTAGCCCACTTTCTGTTGATCCAGGTCTCAAAACCTGAGTCCTATTAGTTGTCCCTTGAAAAGGCTCGAAATCATGTGATCCTAGCAGCTTAAATTGAGAAAAAACCTTGAAAGAATGTCTTAGTATGTCGAACTTGTGTGACAAACAGCCTACGTATGTTGATTGAAAGTGTGGTAAGGGCTGGATTCTGCATCTAGGAAATTGCAAAAGGGAAAAACTCATGGCACCTGCCATCCTTTGGGCTCAATAAGCTGCAACAAAATTAGCGTGCAACTTAGTAAAACAATTCCACCTGTTTCAACATGGAATAGTTAATTGGAAGATGGTGTAAAAATTACATATGCTACTAGAAGAAAAAAAGTACTATGTAGAGCCATAGCTATAGTACAGAATACATTGAAATTCAATTTGAATTCTCCAGGCATTTAAGTTCTAACTCAGAAGAACCGAATTTTCTTCCATTGTTCCTGCAGTTGAAGTTGCGTTTTAGTAACCTAATTAAAACCAGGATACCATATTGAAACAGCTTTCGTTTATACTTAATCCTTGAAAGAAACAAAAGAGAAAAAGCAAGGATGGAAAAATCTTTCAGGGCTTCAACTATGTGATTTAGAAACACAGCCAAACTCAGACATTTTGAGATGCTCTGTAATAACTTGCAACTCCTCATGAGATAATTATGAATTGTAAGTTAGACTTCTATATTCTTTAAATCCCCATTTACCATATAAGAAAACTAGAAATATACTATTTTTTTTTTTTAACCATAGGTAGTCCTATGAGAACTTCCACCCTACTTTGCCATTGCCACTGGCTTCACTTCCATAGGTTTCAATGACATACGTTTTGCAAATAATGAATGTATAACAGCCCAAATTTATCAGGAAGAAACTCAATCCAATTAAATAATTATGATTTCAGAAAAGAATGAACCTTTATTGCACACATATCAGAACCAAAACCATAGCCAAAAAACACAATTTCCAGAAACATGCTTACCAGCAATAAGCAATAACCCACAATATGTTAAAAGTAAAACTAGACAGAAATCCACCCCCATCACCTTCACTCACACTAAGCTATCCATAAAAGAAAACCCAAATCAAAAAAAAAAAATCTGGGTATCATTGAACTACAATCTAAAGAAGCAACAAGAAGCACAAAATAACAAAACACTGACAAAAGATACTACCTTCAGGGAATTCAAAACCTGGAAACCACTACATTGGCCTTTGGGACGGTCATTTTGACAGTATAAACAGTTTAGAGAGAGTATGAAAGTGCTGATGGTGCAATTTCTGAAGCCCCAAAAGAACTGTGGGTCGTGCACGCTTTTTGCTTTGCAGTTCCAGGGACAAAGGAGTAACCCTCTCTTTGGCGCTGTTTGACGCCTAGTCAACCAACGGGCAAACAATACAAAAAGAAACACTCGATCATTGGAATTTGGAAGCTTGTAACCAAAACTTTATAAAAGTTACGACCCAACCTTTGTTTTGACCAAAACGGAACAGAAGCCTTATCAGGCTGAGCCCAAATCAGTGCCCATTCTTGGAAAATCTTGTGAGTGACCAGGACCCAAACTCAAGATACTAGTTACGACCCAACCTTCTTAATCAATACTTTACTAAAGCGTTGAACCCTTATCTGTGTAAGGATTAAGAAAATAGAGGAACTTGGAGAAATTGACAAGAAGAAATTTCTCTGTGTCTTGTCCTGTTAAAGAAACTGCAAGATCAAAAATATGTTCACAGCTTGCTCATAGGTCTGCTGGATGATATCTTAACTCAAATAATTGGAGAAATGTGAGTGTGATTATGAATCTTAAATTGAGATGATAGTCAGCAGTCTCCTCTTATAGAAAGTGATAACCTGTCAGCTAGACCCAGCTCAACTTATCTGTTCTGTGCTTGGCTTGAACTGATCAGTGATTTTCACCAAGCCATTTAACCGTACAAGAGAACATGAGGCTGGATTTGATACAAGTGTGAGCCCTGCTTCACTGCTGCCCATGGAATCATGCAAGGAATTGTACTTGGTCAAGGCAGACCATAGTTTTTTTTTTTTCCCTTCACAGAGAGCGAGGCTGAGGGGCAGTGGCACCAACCAATGATGGATGTTGACTTAGAGATGAAGCCAATAATGCCACCCGATGCTGTGTCACAAAGGCCATTCCCAATGCCTTTTTCCCCCATTTGATTTAGTAAGATGCCAACACACCATTGGCCTAATAAAAGGGCCCGAGAGAGAGAGAGAAAGAGAGGGAGTGAGAGAGAGAAAGGGATGGGGTTTTGTTTCATCTTCTTGGAAAACTTAGGGCCAAAAACCAGGTGCTTTGCTAATGTTACCCCATGTGCAATTAATTTAGTGTCTTATGTAAAGCAACAGTGGTGTTGCTTCCTCCTTTTTGATTTGCACATTCCTGAAAAAATAATTGCCACGAAAAAGGGGTTTGCATCCTTTCATCTGCAAAAAGAAATAATAAACCAATTAAACTCTAAAATATTACAAAAAATGCTCGACTGACATTGTGTCTGACGATTTAATCGAATTATATTAATCGTGTATACATCTTCCACGCTTGAAGTACTGTATCAATATGAGAATTCTGTGTTTTACTGTGCTTATCAATGCATAAGTTTATACATCATTAAGATAAGCTACATGTTTTCAATCAAGGTCAAAGTAGTTAAACTTATAGGAATGCTAAATGAATCAACAATAAAAATTGCCTCCTTTGATTGAGTTCAACATTGGATGCCAATTGATTCGTAACACCCTGTAAGGTAAAACTGAAAAACGAGCAAAAGTAAAAAACTTTCAAACCCCATCATCATGAGCTTGGCGAACCATGGAAAAATGCCATGTGAAGGACATAAAATTTCCACCATCCAATCCCAGGGGTGGATGGCCTAGACACAGGAGAAAAGGTATTTATCCCATTATTCACAGGGTGAAGCTCGGGGTCTCAAGTTGGCAACTTGAAGGCAAAATTTTTAATCTTTTCCCATGGAAAACATGTAAATCATGGCAAGCACTTCTTTTCCCTAAAAGAGTAATTGAGGCCCGAGGTTATTAAAATTAAATTTATTATTTGAACTCATCTTAAATTCAAATATAAAAGAATCGTATTTTATATAATCGAATGGAATACTAGTAGATATCTGTTTTAAAGGTTGCAGTCCCTGATTAATTAGAATTGGGAAGAAGAAGAAGAGGAGCAATGCGGGTGGGAAGGTTCCCATGGCCAGTCCTCACTTTGATTTTAGCTTTGGCATTAAACAGGAGAGAGCTAGAGACAATGATTGGTGTCCTGGAGGCATTGATTCCATGGTAAACGTATAATTAACAATAGGATTTGGTACCTGATAGCATTTGGTCAGTGAAATCTGTCTAAAAGACAGCCCAAGGTGACAGGGAGCAGCTGTTTTGCAAGCCTGGCAAACTGTACGATAAGCCTGTTGATGTGGATCTAATTCCAAGTTATTTCCAACTGGTACACCGAAAGGGTTCCCCCTCCCCTCCCTTCCTTTTTGGTTGACAGGTAGTTCCCAAGTTTCACTTCAATAATTTTGATTGAAAATTGCTTCTTTTTTTTTTGTGAAACAGTTGAAAGAAGCTGGGTGTCGGGGAGGCAAGAATTTCCATCCCCACGTGCTGAATTATCCTTTTCTTTATAGTATTATTTGTTGTAAAACCTCAAAGGTTTCCCATAAATGGATAAAAAAGGTGAAAGCAACCCAACTCTGACTGATCACCCAATTTTTTGCCCATTTTTTGAGATTTCTCTTGTGTCCATTCACTCAGGCCATTGCTTTTGCTACTTTTTAACCGCAGAATCAATCCTTGGCATGCAACATGCTTCTCTGCATGGATGATAATAAACCCTAATGGAATCAACAGCCGGATCAATTCTGATCTAAAACCATGGTTTCTTTAACCGTCAACTTATTCATCTTCATCTCCCACCTTATCTTTTTGCACTATCATAGAAAAAGAGAATAAATTGTGATCTGGGTATATGTTAAGTTGTCCACATCTTAAATTACAGATCAAGCTGTGAGTTTGGAAACGACAGCTTGATCAATTGTGGTCAGAATCATGGGTTTGTTATGGAATCTTCAACCATCTTTTTGACAAAAATTAGATTTAAAATGAGTTATTTTTGTATATTTTAGAATAAGTGATTATCTAGGTTTATGATAAGATGTTTATATCTTGAACGGTAGATGCAATTATGGGTTTGGAGTGTAACAAAAATATAACATTTTTTGTTGGAATTTGAATTCTTAGTTTGGTAATGTTAAATGTTATGATTAATTGTAAATTATTATCTTGCCTATGCTTCATGTACAAATACAAAATATGCAATGGTGTAATATAATCCTTTTGTATGATCAAAAGGCCAAAATCAAATAAAACCAAAAAGAAAGAGAAATCAAAATGATACAGTATGAGTGTATAGACTAGAGACAAACACATTCATAGACTCAAAATAAGAAAAGAATAAAATGTCATTGGATTCAACCTACCAAGACAAACCCACTTTCTTTTCTCCATTTATAATATTATAAAAATAAAATAAAATAAAAACCTTTGAAAATTAAAAAAAAAAAAAACTAATAGCCTTCTCTTTTTTTTCTTTTATTTTGCTATGCGGTGAAAGAGACGTGTTACGGAGAGGCGCACGTACGCTTGCGAAGCGAATCGTGGGCCCGTCATCTCTCCGCGTTGGTTGATGGGGTCCTCCTTTTCTTCCCCTTTTTTTTTTTTTCAAACGATGGGCACAGTTGGTGAAGGGCCCACCCTTTGGTCACAATGGACACCACCACGTGTCCCTCTCTGATTTCGAAATTCTTTTGAAGATCATCCAACACGTCACGTTTGTTGCATCTCTGCTGACCTGGACAACTCTAAAGTGGGTCTGTGGGCCCCTTTCTTTTTTTCCCTCAGGGAAAGGTGGGTCCCTCCCTAACTCTAGTCACTCTTCTAAGTTGTCACTTAGCTGGATTGTTGTAAATAGTTTGGTAATTTTCATCCCATTATATTCTCATTCTTAAATAGTAAAAAAAAATACTTAAACTATTGTGTATTATTTAAACTTTTTTATTTTTTATTATATTTAAACAAATTCTTATATTTTATTTTTACTTTTACAAATCTGTAATTTTATAGAAAATTATCATTTGTCAAATTTAATGTCAATTATCTTATTTTATTTATGTGACATATGATGATTTAATAAGTATTTACATGACAAAAGATATGAAATTAAATACCGATGATCATTAATTTTTTATTAAAATTAATAAGTTTTCATGAATACTTATCAAACAATAAAATATTTTTTATAACAAATAATGAGAATTTTTACATATAATTTGCAATATTCAAATACTTTTTTAGTATTTAAGTTCATATTCCTTTTTAGTATTGGACAAAAAATTTCTTTTTATTTCAGGAATTTACATATTATTTTAAATACTTGTTTAGATGTTTTATTTATCATTATTATTATTATTCATATTCTATTGTAAATTAAAATGCAAAGCATGTTTTATTTTATCTAACCTACTCACTTTATTCTCTAAGATAAACAATTGCAAACTTTCTACATTTTCTCCCCCTAATTTACCACAACTATTATATATATTATAATGTCTAGTTGCTTTATTTTTGTTTTTCCTTTTGTTTTTTTGTTAATTATTTACTTGCACTTGTACCATGTGCCATTAGTAGTAACTTTATAAATAAACTTAAAAGTTTTTTATTCAAATTGCATTTTAATTTTAATGTAAGAAAGCATTTAATTAAATTACATGTTGGCTTTTTTTGTGCACCCTTATTTTATTGTATTACAATGCCTCCCATGTCCAAAGTATTTAATACTATTACTTATTTCTCAATAGATTTTATTTTTTTAAATGTGAAAACATGTTTTATGATTGTTTTTTTTTAAATATTAATATTACTTTACTTGTCATTCTTTTTGTTTCTATATTAAAATATAATTTTATTTTACAATTTGATCATAGATGGAGTAGAGGTTTTTGTTAATATTTAGCAAACTTGTTGACAATAAAAGAAAAAATATTAATATAATCAATGGAAATGAAACATCGCTAAAATAATAGCATTGACAATGAATATAAAGAGATAATTTTAACAAATATGGAAATACTTAACGTGGAAGGACAATTTATGATGATAATAATAATTAATGTGTTATTAATTTTTAATTTTGATATAAGCTTGTAGTGAGAATTGCGTATACAAGAAAACATAATCAATAATACCATTTTATTATAAATAATCTCAAACCACTCATTTTGTCGCATTTTAATGTTAAAATCGTGTAAGAAACCAAGTTTTATCACTCAAGTGATAAATTTCCTTTCCAATACCTACAAAGTCTAAACTTTTAAAATCGAATTAACCAATAACCAACTGACCAACAAAGTTAAGAGTCGATTCAATCCATAAAGTCTTTCGTATGATAATAAGTGATTTTGAATTCATAATTTATAATGATCGCTTCAAGATTTTACGACATTCCACATATTTTATTTTAATCAAAAAATCAAAACAAAGAGAAAGCCAGAATATCATTCAATTCCACGTGATAGAAGATAACATTAAAAGCAATAAAAAAAAATCGCAAAAAACTCTTATAAGGGGTTGTTGCTTGGGGTGGCACTCATCATTCTTTGAGGCACACAGAATATAGAAAGAAAAGATGGTAAAAAAGACAAGGAAAGTTAGGAAAAGTTTGCTTGGACTTTTCCCCAACTTCCACCAGCCGCCACGTGTCATTTAATAAAATATTTTTTATGAGTGAAACCACTTGCTAGAGAGGGTCACAACCCCAAAACAATATTCCATTTTCCTCCTTAAAAGCATCTCCTTCCTCCATGAAAGCTAAAAAAACACCCAAAAAGCAATAAACAAAATAATTATTAAATCATTTTAAACTTTTTAAAGAGAAGATCTAAATCTGTTGTGACACTTTGGAGTTTTCTTGGGTTTTTTTTCTCTCTCTCTCCCATTTCTGGTTTGGGTTTT